AGAAAATCCAATAAAGGTAATATTATAAATTAATATGGAAAAAGTAAATAACGATAATAGTTAAAAAGTCAATAATAAAAAGTTAATTATATTAATCAGTATGTACGTACTACTTACGTATGTAATTTGCATGATCGATTGATGATTGATCAATGTGGCATAGGCTAACTGCGCCATTAACCTGGCACACATGCAATTAAAAAAGTTTATTTGGGCAATAATATGGTTCCATCAGTGTATACGTCATACCTGACGGATAAACTAGTTATCTGTCACATCATGCCAGATAACAAGAATGTATCCTATAGATTCTACTTATATTACCATTATTAAACAATGACAATTATACAGAATTGATAGGGCTCACTGTCGTGATTCTGTATATTATCATTGTTTTAACATTGGTAATATATAAATCCTCAAAATATAATTTTAAATATTTGTGGCCCAATTCAAATTTTCTGGACCTTCGTACTTTTTATTTTTTATTCTGGTTTTATTTGCTGTTTAAACAATTCTAATATCGATTTTGCTGCAAGTTCATAATATGTAGATTTTTAATTTTAATCAACCAGACCGAATCTGAAAAAAAATTAGGTAATTACGGATCCACGTTTTTACGACTTGAAAATAAACTATCGAGAGACATTGAGAATGATGTGGATAAAAAAAAATGTATACCAGTATTTTCAGAAAAAATGCATTATTAAAGATCCATTATTAAGAAAATGGTTTGTCATTGAAACGACAGAGTTAATCAAGTTTGTAGATTTATTTATGAGGATGACACCAAATTATTCTAAATTATAATATTTAGTAATCAGAAAACCATGATACAAACTACTTTAAAATCTACCAATAGTTACAAACCAACAACAATATCTTCAATTGGTACCAATGCGACATATGCTTCCGCAACTGAGAATAAGGGATGTTTTTTGGTCACTTCTATGATGTGGTGTGACATTTTGTTAGATTATATTTGCAAAGTACAGGCATTGTTACTGTGTGTTTAGTAACTCCATTGTAAGCTTCTCGTTTAAGATGGAAAGCTGTAGTGTCTTCGTTCATGGTGCTAGAGTCTTGGATGAGGGCAGTGAAAATGCTAAAGGCTGGTGAAATAGGAAGATTGTACATGATAGAATAATCACTCATCATTTGAATATTTAGAGGGGTGTGTTGTTCAATTGTTATCTTGATAGATTAATTGATTAGAGAAATAATGGAAAAAGACACAGGAAGTGAAAAAGTTTAAATGTTGAGGAAACAAAAGGATTAGTGTGTTGTTTTGGTAATAATTTAATTAGTAAATCGTGAATATTAAATATATTAATATATGATTTTTATAATTTAATTTGTTATTTATATGTGTATATTTTTTTTTTACATTTAGCTCTTTGTGAATATAAATTGACAAATTATTATCACAATACTTCTTTTAGTCATTTCTCTACTAATGATGCTTCATTATTTTTGTAGGCTTCAATCTGTATTCAGTAAATTTATCATCCCGGTTCTATATATGGCACTACTGGTATATACTTTGTCTCTTAAAACATTTTTGACAAATGAGATGGTGCAAAAAATAGAGATCATAATTTTTATTGTATTTTATTTTATTTTTGTTTTAAAGTTTTTTGTAAGAGTTTTTATTTCTTATTTATTCAAATTTGAAAGTTGAGTGAAGTTAGTAGAAAGAGACAGACAATACCTTTATAAGTTTTTTTATTTTTTATTTTTTATAATTATTATTAACATTTATTATACAATTGACCTATGAAGAATCAATTTTAAAGAAGAGGTACTGAAGTAGTGTTTATTCATTTCATTCAACAATAATTAGATTTTTTTTTTTTTTTTTTTTTTTTTTGCTAGTTAATACAATTTTAATATTCTAATTTAATTATAACTAATTATATTTCACAGTAAATAATTTAATTTTTTTTTTAGATTTGTTGTGAAATGCACTTTTTATTTGTCATCTCATAACTTTATGAGTATTGAGAGATAGAATGGTGCAGGTAACAGTTAATTAATTAAATATATAATTTTATTGGATATTATTTTTTTTATTTTTTTTATTTCTTTTTTTTTCTTTTCTAGATAGTTGTGAGAAATTACTATTGGGTTTAGGTAGGTAGTTCAGTGGTACTATTGTTGAGTTTATTATTAACAATTTTAGTTAAATAAGCAAATATAACATGCGTTAAAATTATTATATTTAATATTCTTTTTTAGATAATTAATTTAAATTATTTTTTTTCTGAAGTCATGTAATGCACATTTAATTTGTTGTATTGTTGATCTTTTGAAGATTGAATTAGGGGAACGCCATTTATCACCTGATTTTTTAGGGGGTGGGGGTAGAGAAATTATTAGGTCCTATATATAATATATATTATATAATATAAATATATATACTGTATATATTATATTGCTAATAATACAATTAAT